TTCATGAAATCCACTCAAGTTCTTAGCTCAAAGGGATATAAAATTGATGTCAGAGATCGGAATTTGTTTCAGCCTGGTCTATTTTTAGAAACATATTTTGGCAGTCACTAGAAGGGAATAATATAATTGATCATATCAAAAACGCTAAAATGTTACACACTGATGGCATATAGAAATCACAAAAGAAAAGAAAATGTTATTAGACATGTAAAATCTGACCTGGTATTTAACTCTGTATGTGACTTAGGATATTTTAGATAAAATGTACCTCTTCCTTACCAGAAAAACCTCCAAAGATTTTTATGTCACCAGATTACTGAGTAAATAACACCTTTTCATCTTAATTAGGTATAGAGCAGCATTTTGGAGAATGCACGATTGTCTGATGAGGTCTGTGAGGATCCCTATTGTATAAGGCAGTGGCCCCCAACCTTTTGAGCATCCGGTATTGGTTCTGAGGAGAGAGGTTTTTCCACGGACTGGAGAGGCCATGGTTTTATGTGTTGCCTGCATCCTGTGTGTGTGGTTTTGCTTGTTTGCATGGTCCAGCTTCTGGTATGCCATGGCCCTGTGCCGATCCACAGACTGGGAATTGGGGACCTTTGGTATAAGGAGAAGGTCATGCTTGAGTCACTGTTATTTATCCACAAAACTTTATTCACTATTTCAGAATTCATCTTTGGTGAGGTTGTCTATATTAATCCTTAGGGTTTAATTGTGATGTATTTAGAGAGGCTCCTAACATTTTAAACTTATCTCCACCTGAAGAAGGTTAGCCCTGAAATGTAAGCCTTTATATATGAATGTTCTCCATAAATGTGGCATGCTCCTGATTTCATATTTGACCTCAATAATAATGACATATAAAAAATTTTCTGGACCCCAGTGCATAAATCTTTTTGTATAAATGTCATAATGCTACTATCAATGAAATTTGTTTGTACCAAACATTTATAAACTGTTTACTGAAGAAGAAAATTAAAAATGTTATGTAGCATAAATAAGTTATATGTGTATGTTATATCCATGCATGGGTGTATGAATATGGAATTCCAAGGGTCTTTTTTTTAAAATTTGGGCAAATAAATATTTGTTATAAGACCACAGTTATCTTCTGCAAGTATTAGTTTCTCGAAGGCCTTTTCAAGTTGGTTAATATATAATATAGTTAATATACCATAGAAGTAGGTGACAATATTTCAAAATATCACAATGACAGGCTGTATATATTTCTGATTGATAATATACCTTTATTGGATTGTATAGAGCTTTTTTCAAGTTATTATTTTTAATCCTAAATTTCCTAGAATGAGAGAGTGGAAGGACATTTTGTCACAAAAGTGTTGCATCTATTGCAATGCCTGTGAAGGATTTTCATCTAATAGGACTTCAACACCTACGTCTTGGCTACATAAATTTATTACTGTACACAGTCTCTTCTGAAGGCCCAAGGTTCACTCAAGATATGTGGCAAAAAGCTGTACGGGGAGAGAAAATGTATAGAAAATCAATTTTATGAAATTTATCACATTTCATTCTCCTATTGTTATGCCGAGCTTCTAGGCAGAGGGAGACCGGTTCTGCAGCCATGTTTAAACTGTTTCACCTGGTTATTATTTTTTTTAAAAGTATTATTATGTTAAAATTATCTAGAGGGAATTATTGTATTCTATAAAATAATACAGAATAATCAGATTAATTCATGGATTTCCACTCCCAAAGTAGGGGGAACAGCTTTTATGTTTATTTAATGTCTCAATGCAATAAATAGATTCTGTACAAGTTACAAAAATTTAAAGGTGATAAACTATGCCCAGCAATAAAAAAAATGGCACTTAATTTGGGTTGATGATTCAATGAAATAAAACTGTCTCGGCGATCTTTTGAATGCTATGACAGAAGGAGTTTAAAGAGAGGGAGTTCCAAAGTTTGAGAGCTATCACAAGCTCTTTTCTTGCCTATTTACCCATAAGAAGAAAGAACTTTAATAGCTTTTTGGAGAGATTCTCATCAAACAAGCAGATTCAATTCATTATAAATGGAAAAAAGCCCTATGGAGCCTCCAATAATATTATACGTATGTATACACTGGTAATAGGACTTTGCCAATTACTCAGAGGGGGAAACTATGCGCATGCCATGGCTTTATTAGCAGTCCTTTCTGTGCATGTGCACATGACCTCTTGAAGCATAACTCTAATACATATTTCAACTATGTGGACAATTCTAGTAACCCTAGTATGGCCCATGTAACACTGTTGTTATACGAGTTGCAGTGGTTGTTGATTTGCTTTGAATTAATTGAAAGTGGGTTTTTTTTAGTTACCTTTAAAACCTTCATGACATGAGATCAAACTACTTCAAGAACTGTCTCACCCCAGTGAGACACTCTAGCAGAAGGGCTTGGCTACGGACCCAATTTAATGTTTCGTTGGTGGGTCCAGGACAACCTTTTCTGCAATGGCTCCTGCCCTCTAGAACATAAAGCTGTTGGAGGGGAGATCCATCCTCACTCTCTTGGCCTTCTGAAAATGGCTTCAAAACCTTGCTCTGCCAAGTGGCTTGAGTGTCTGTGGGGGCATTCCATGCTGGAAGTGCCTAATGGATTAAGAAAGACAATCCCATCTCCATCCCACTCCTATACTGATTCCTACTTTCAGTCCCTATTAATTTTAATGTTGTTAATATTTTTGTATCCTTGTTTTTATGGTGGTGTAAGCTCCCCACAGTCACTTTGATGGGTCAGATAGGTGGCATATAACTTTTATTTAATAATAAATAATACATTATATTTATTATTATATTAAATTAGTCCATATTATATTATATTATATTACTCCATCTTCTAAGGATTTTCTGTTCAATTCCCTATGATGACTGTTAACATAACCCATATAATAAAGGTAAAATATTATCCTTTATATGATAGGAATTGATGCACACTTTCACACTAGCATAAGCATCTGCTGGAGTGACATGGTTTTGGTGTCAGCATGGTTTATAACATACCACGAAGTAAACCACTTCAGAAGCAGTTTTGTTCCTCTGAATTCCAGTGAGATCAGCAGTACTGTAAAACTGAGATGTTCTGTTTCCGATTAATCTCTGGGCTAATCAAAACTGCTACAACTGTTTTTTGTTTGTTTGAAATGATGTGCTTTGTTTCTCCATTTGTGGTATTTTTTCACCTTTCCTTACATATAGTTTCAGGGCAGTCCAGAGAAGTAAGAAGGACCCTCAAAATGCCATATTATTGATGTTTTTTAAAAACCTTTTCTTTCTTTCCCTTTTATGTAGAATGAGACATGAACAGATTTTTGCAGTTGTGGGACTCAGCATAAAGTAATAATTTTCAGTTGTTCTCAGCTTATTAGGTCTTCAGAAGTGAAGACAATCACAGCTTGCCTTCAAATGGCTTTTGAGAGTTGGGAAATGAAAACAGTGGTGGTGTGAAAATCTCTTTATTTCCCACATATTTAACTAATTATAGGAGAGAAAGGAAAGCCTTAATAGAAACATAACATCTGGAAGGAGGATTTTCTCCCCTTGCTTCCCAAAGCAAGTAAACTGATGACTTTCACATATCTGGGATCCTTAGAAAATAACCTCACATTTGTGACAGTGGGGCTTATTTTTTTAATACTATTTGATGCATAGAGCAGGTGTGTGATTTTCATTCCAGTCATCCTGTAACAGAAAATACATTCTTGTACTTGTTCTGGCAAGGATCCTTTGCTTGTAATCAAGTAAAAACAAAGTGCATGGAAATTATTTATGTGCTTCATTTGACTCTAGCTGTGCCTCAAGATGGTGTGTAGTTGGTTATACATCCCTTACCCATAGTGTGCTAACTTTGCATGGACATACTTGTCTGTTCTATAGCTAAAGCATATATGTAAGTAAGCATTTGAGCTTCTGTTATAAAGTGCTCCCTTGTCTCTGGGCAGAATAATTATCAGACTCATGAAGAATTTATGCTGTTGGGGCAGTATCTAGCACATTCATCAGGAGCTATGTTGCATGGTTTACTTATATACATTCTCATTAGCCCTTCATATATTTGGCAATACTGGGCAACCAGGAAGCAAAATATGCAGCATTGATGTTCTAATCAAGAGTTGATGTGATGTGTAATTTCAATATCTTTCTTACTGATTGCAATGTAGTAATTCTAAAATTTCCATTCCAGTGGTAATAAGTACATTAAAAAACCTTTTGTTTTACTCTCCCCCCATTGAAACGGAAATAAATGGAGAGAATTATAAAGGTTGTTTCATTGTTTTTTGGATTTCCAAACATATTCTAGTACTGTTAGCATTAAGTAGATTTTGTGAAATAGTTTCTTCTGAATAATATTTTGCTAGATCATATTTTTATGTAATTTACTTATTTATTTATATCCCACCTTTCATATGAACAGGGTTCAATGATAACATAGAATTTCAATTATATAAGATCTTTTGTTGTTGCATTTTCTTTAATGGAATTACTCCCTTTAATGGTATAACACCAATTCAATTTGTAGGCCAAATCTGAAGATGCATTAAGCAAGCCACCATTGAGATACAGTATTTATTGAGGTTTTCTACCTTGCTCCTTTATTTTAAAATATTTATAAAAGGTGGCACCTCTATATGAAAATTCCATGAAAAGATTTGTTTTCCTGGTAGAAATATTTATGCAAAGACTATCTAGCTGTTTCAATGAGCAACTGAAATCTAATTTGAACCTGACTGTGCATGGTTAAATCATGAATTTCCCTGTAAACTCTGAAAAAGAGGAATGTATTGCAATTTAATGGCCTGATTTGCCTGTACAGTTAAGTCAATCTGAATACAGTAACTGTGTCTCTAAAAAATCTACTGTGTGATTGTAAGTAGATCTTTATATCACATTGAAGACCTATTGGAAAAAGACTATTTGAGATATAATGTTTGAACAACTGAAATTTAATTTTGCAAAAGGCTCTGTTACAGAATTGTTCATTACTTTTGCTACAGATTGTCCACAGGACATTAGCTGCAATGTTGGGATCTTTGGCTGCCTTAGCTGCCTTAGCTGCAATTGGTGATGTAAGTAGCAAGCTCTCCTATCTGTATTACTCAGAACTTTTGACTACAGATTCTGGTTTAACTTTGCTGTGCCATGAACAGTGCATGTCTTTGCTAAAGAAGGCATCTGTACTTAAACTCCCAGTTTACTAGTGGCACACCACTGCAGAAAGATATATAACTGTGATGGCGAACCTATGGCATGAGTGCCATAGGTGGCATGCGGAGCCCTCTCTGCAGGCACGTCAACCTTTCACCGACCAGCTGATTTTTGGGCCCCTGCTGCACATGGGGAGACATGCATGTATGGGGTGGGAATCACATTTGTGGGCTGTTGCGGGGCTCATGGGGGTAGTGGTGTGTTCCCCATGCCCCATTTTTGGTTTCAGAAGGCTTTAGGGAGGCCTGCTAGGACCAAAATGGGGCATGGGGGGGTCACGTGCATTAATGGGGGCCAAAACATGGGGGAATGAGGGGACACAGGGGTTTGTGTGCACACATGCAGGGGGAACATAGCATTGTGTGTGTGGGTGCATGCGTGATTTCGGCACGGCAGGGCAAAAAGGTTAGCCATCACTGATATATAACAAAACATGTTAACCTAGATAGGAACCATGGAAATAATTTTATATGTACAGTGGGAAAAGGCAGAATCAATTTCAAAATGCATTCAAAAGGAATCTCATCTACTTTGAAGATGTAGGTCACAAATATTAATGATGGTACCGGAATAGAAATTTGCTGATTTTTAGGGTTCAGCTGCTTTACACTTAGCCGTAATTCTGTTTCATTTCCATGTTCTTTGTGTACATAGCATTAGTTCAGCTTTTCTTTCTTCACAGCAAATCTGTTGATAAGGCTCAACAAAAAAACAACAACAGTAAAGCTTGCTGAGATTGCCAGAGATACAGCTGATTCTCATTTGTCAAAACATCAAAACCATTATTTGAGGAGGCATCCATGGCTAGCCACAATGATACCCAAAGATTGAAACTTGCTTCATGATATCATAACTCAAAACAAAAACAAAAAAGGAAACATTGCTTGCATTTTTAAATGAGGGGGAAACTACACATTGCTTTTTCTGATAAGGAAAAAAAAAGCCTGTGCTGTATTTGGATGTTCACTCATGAATTACTAGTGGTTATTTTCTGCTGGCATTGTTTTAGCATCCTTACAGCTCATTCATTCTCAGTTTCCATAATGCCCAGATAATTTTACAACAGGAATTATCAAAATGTGGCCTGGGAGCCTCTGGTGGACCCTGGAAACGAACAAATTATCTATCATAGAGTTCCATTTGGCTGCCAGGCACAATTGGCTGCCAGTTGGCTGACTAGGGCAGAGTTCGTTCATTGTTACAGCCCCCAATTCCCCTTGTTCATTGTCACTCAGTTTGCTTCCAAAAATGGATCACTGATTGAAAACTGGTTGATCAAAGTAATAAATACTTACTTTTTTGAGGAGCTGGTTCAAAATTGAATTTCAAGAAGGTCTTTAAAAATGGAGAAGATCAGAAGGTACACACCAACGCTATTACCATGTTATTATAATTGCCAAAAAACCCACCCAATTTTGCAGACTGAACAATATTTTTCTCTTATATTATCCACATATTGTCCAGATGTTCATTTAGCAGTCCATCACTGCAGATATTTTGAAAAATACTACTTTAAAAAAATTGCCTTTTTGCCCTTATTGTTTTAATTTTTTTCAACTGTTTCTTTTTCAAATGCTACTAGTATTTTTGTCAATAGAACTAAGGCATGTGCTTATACAATTTTCATTTATTTTCATTTATGATCAATATTGTTATAAATAAACCCCACTCCATTTTACCTTTACCAATATAAAGAGATTTCCAATCTGGGTTCCTTTCAAAAATATTGAGTTAATTTCTTTAAGAGATTGTTTTTTAAAATAGAGTTTGAATTTCCAAGATTAAATGACTAGATAAAAAGATCAATGTGATTCAGTGATAACTGTCCTCTTTAATTGCAGAAGCCGAGCCTGATCAAAGTAGTGGCATGGATTGATTTTGAAACTCTGGCACTATTGTTTGGAATGGTAACTAAACATTTTCATGACACCTTAAAAGATCTGAATTTTTTTTAAAAAAATATTATATATAAACCCTGCAAGTTACTATTATTCATATGTGTGGTTGGGCAGGAAGAGTTTCAGCATTAGCTCCTTTTAAAACTGTTTTGGCTTAAAATGTTAAGAATGAGTACATCCCAAATATGGCAGGGAACTGGTCACAAGTATGTACCACTACCCTGCCAGCCCCTATTTTGGGGTCTCCAATCGTTTCAGGCTTTTTCAGGTCACCCCTTTTCCAGGGTATCTGGGTGTAGTTATCTCCCTAAGAGAAAATGTCTTACCTGGGGCAAGTATCAGGGTTCCGATGGATGCCCTAATTAACTCATGAGCCTCGAGCCAAATTTCAAAAGAAATCCAGTTATTTATTAGGAGCAACATGTCAACACTGTTCCTGAGTGAAGTCAACTCTGCTGCATGGGATTTATGGTTCAACTGTAACCCTATTTCCTGCCTCCTCCAAGAGTGTATCATTAATCACATTGTCCAATGAGGCACTTTTGCAAGCTGTAAAAAACACGTCTTTCAGGCCAGCACCTGTAATCTGAAATTCAACCTTGAGAAAGGTATGCATGGAACGTGCTTCTGAACATGGCTGCTGAACTGCTCCATCAGTTTCCCTCCCTTCCTGCCCATGGCAACTCGACAGTAGACCATGATTGCTTTGGGAGTTGACAGCAAGTAATTAAACTGTTACCACCTGGTCTTAGGTGAAGAAATGCTGTTTCTTCCCAATCCTCTCTCTGAATCTGGATGGGAAAGAACAGGCAACTGCTCTTCTCAAGAGCTTAATTTCTAAGCACATAGCTTTGGTATCCCTCTCTAAAAAGATCCAAGATCTTTTTGTTGAGAAAACTCAACATTCAATATATTCAATTCATATATATACATATATACATATATACATATATACATATATACATATATACATATATACATATATACATATA